TTAGAGTAATCCTTCTTTACATTGTAAAACAATATAGGAAAGTTAACGAGATAGAAAAGTGAAGTGATGACAATGAGAATTTATAAATTATGAATAAGTAACGTTTCTCTCGTGGATTAGAGGGAAAAACAGAAAAAATATGCCGGTCAGAAATAAATTCGAATGAAGTCCAAAATATTGAAAATCCTTTTTTTTTCTTTTTCTTCTTCTTCATTATTATTATTATTATTATTATTATTTATCAACTTTTTCCTCTTTTTCTTCTCTTCCTTCTTCTTATGTTGGCCTTTGTCTCTTTCTTTTTTTATATTTTATTACTTTTTCTTCATCGTATTGTTCTATATGCCCCTTCTTATTCTCTACAACCTCTTTTTTTCCCTCTGTCCTTTTTTCCTCTTTTCTTCTTCTACTTCTTCCTCTTCCATCTTCTGCAGCGTTTACCTGTCTTTCTACGTTTCTTTTTTGTCATTATATTTCTCCTTCTCTTCCTCTATCATCTTTTATTCTCCTCCTTTTTTTTATCCTTTTGTTGTTTTCTTTTTTTTTTCTATTGTTTCTTCTTGCCATTTTATTTCTTCTTCTCCTCCTCCTCCTCCTCTCATCGTATTTTTTATTCTCTTCCTTTTTCTTCCTGTTTTTCTTGTTCTTCTTTTTCTCCCTGATCTTTTTTTTCTCTACTTTATCCTCTTTGTTTCTCCTCTCCTCTTTCGCCTTCTTCGTCGTCTGCTTCCCTCCCGATTCTATGTACATGGATGCGCATACCTATACGAATGGAATTTACCTGAAAGAAAAAAAAAAGGTAAATGTCTGTAGTTTTTCCCTAAACCCCGATGCGTGTGTTCATATGTAATTCAGTATCTGTCTACCTTGACAGTTGTAATAAAAAAAGCCAGAAACAAAAAGCAAAAAAAAAAAAAATATATCGCAGTAGAATAAATACGTACACTATTCGTTTTAGCTTCCCAATCTCTTCTTCTATGGCGGATACTTTAGTATATCCCACCAACAACCAGACACTTGTCTAAGTCGATCAAACTCAACAAGTAAAAAAATATTTAAATAGAAAATGAATTAAAATATTGAGGACGCAAACCCGTAAGCAACGACTCACTATATTTTTTTTCATTTTGCCCACGCGCCAATAGACTCTATTCCCCAAAACACTAATCCAAGGCGGCAGAACGTCTTCACTTAAGTGATAACTCATTATTACATGTACGTCTGCATATGAATGTTATCGCTTTTACTGACAGTCCGATCGCAGCTTTTTAATATCGCCATATTAACTGTTCAACGTAACAGGCTGTAAGAAACAAACAGCTCACAGAAAAAGTAATAAGTCGAGATGATATGATTAATATAGACGTGTATTATAAATGGAGTTTCGAGCAGTAGACACACACACACACACATATATATATATATATATATATATATATATATATATATATATATATATATATATATATATGACTATCCCGTCGAATTCGACGTATGAAGGTCAAGCAGATCAGTTCTCAGGAAACCGACAGGCCGACAACAGCACGTGAGATTTGATTATAGTGGTGATGGTTTCGTGTAGGACCATCCACACTTTTTGAAGGGCCGAATACAGAAATGACCCTCCGCAGGTTTTGAATTCAAAGTTGTCCTTCTCATAGACCAGTTGTCAGCCAAGGCTATAGAACCCAGTCTGTCCTGCTATTTACTCATAGCTGGAGGGAGAAGAAGAGGATTCATACCTTTCCCAAGGGTGTTAGCACGTAAGTGGATGTAATGGATTCGACTGCAATTCAAACTCGGCTCTCCGATTCCTCAATCCAAGCCGCTATCCATTACTCCACTGTGTAAAAAAAAACCATGGAATATTAGTGTTTAAGCCTTTTTATTATATTCTTACTCTGTCTTGGACACTGAGTTCTACCTGGATTCTATCCTCTTGAAATTTATATATATATATATATATATATATATATGTGTGTGTGTGTGTGTGTGTGTGTGTGTGTGTGTGTGTGTGTATTAACCACTAATATTATATATATATATATATATATATATATATATATATATGTGTGTGTGTGTGTGTGTGTGTTAACTACTAATATATATATATATATATATATATATATATATATATATATATATATATATGTATGTATGAACTGCTCGAATATATATATATATATACAGATAGATAGATAGATAGATAGATAGATAGATAGATAGATAGTGTTATGGGACCTTACCCATAATAACATAATGGACTATTCCATACGTAATAAATACTGCGACTCAAAAGGAAGCATGGAGTTCAGTCCGAAGTCGGGTGACCGGCTGATCGGTTGAACTCTCTGCCTTCGGGCAGGGAGGAACCTGAACGAGGTTACGCCGAAGGGCGGAGTCTCTTTCGGGGAGGTAAACCGACCCTGAACCCGTTTATACGGGTTCAAAGGGCATATTTTTGGCCGAGCCCACGGGCTCGGAGATCCCACGTTAAACCGGCCTTGTGCCACATGATACCCTCGTGGGTGGGGGTGACTAAATACCGTTCAGTCTGAAGTCGGATGACCGGGTGACCGGCTAATCGGTTGAACTTAAATACTGTTCAGTCGGAAGTCTGGAGTCCGTCAGGAGTCTGTCAGTCAGTCAGAGCGAGTGAGTCAGTCAGTCGAGTCAGAGGCAGTCGGAAACAGAGTCGCGTTCAGACAATTACTACTAAACCTGATTGTTCGTACTAACACTTTCTACTTCTCTCTATATATTCCTGTTTGTAATATATCTGTGTTATTCCATATCCGTGTTCGAGTTTATCTTTATTGGTTCTACCTTGGACTATCACCGTAGTTCAAGGAACCGGCCCATAACAGTGGAGGCGAGGATTCGAACTCATTCGGTGGAAGAAAAAAAATTTTTTTCGCTACAGCATAACAGTGGCGACGAGGAAACCAACTCTCGACGCAGAGGACATACCTTTTTTTTTTTTTTTTTTGCTATCCGTCGCGCATAACAAGTGGCGACGAAGATTCGAACTCTCACGTGAAGAACAAACAACAAAATCATCTTTCGTCAACATAACAAGTGACGACGAAGAAACCCCTAAAAAGGAAATACGAACTCTATATACGGAGGACTTATTTTTTTTGCTATACGTCACACATAACAAGTACCGATCTGGAAAAATAAACTCCCTACTCGGTGGACATATTTTTTTTTGTTATCAAATTTCACTGACTACAAAGGAAAGTGTTTTTTTTGCGTGCACAGGCTACAGAATATCAAGGTTACACAAAAAAAATACGTTAACATGGAAGATCTTAAGTCAACCATTATGGAACTTACCAAAATTCAGTTTGAACAACAACAAAGGTACGAACAAAAACATCTGGAAATGCAAGAATTATTGATACGTGCAATGGCAAATAAGGAGCAAAAACCCGAGAACGAATCAGTTCTCTCTTAAGACGCTATTTGGAGTAATATCGAAGATTTCAAGTACGCACCCGACGAAGATAAAACTTTTGCAAATTACTTCCGAAGGTATGAAGATCTATATGATTGTGACTGCAAAGATTGGTCAGACGCACGTAAAGTACGCCTTTTATTAAGAAAATTAGGCACAGGCGAATATATCAAATTCGTTGATTATATCCTTCCCAGAAAAACAAGCGAGTTAACGTTCAAAGAATCTATAAAATTGCTCACGGAACTTTTCAGCCATAATACTTCACTATTTCATAAAAGATGGAAATGCATGAACCTTACAAAAAAAGATAGCGAAGATTACGTAACTTTCGCATCCATTGTTAATAAATATTGTGACGATTTCAAATTATCGGAACTCAGCGCTGACAACTTCAAATGCTTAATTTACGTCCAAGGTCTGGTTTCAACCAAAGACGCAGAAAAGAGACGTAGAATACTTACTAAATTGGAAAATGAACAAGATCTGACACTTCAAAAACTAGCCGAAGACTGCCAGAGATGCGTCAGCGTAAAAAAAGACTCTAAAGACATAGAACAAGCTGGCATAGCATACATACGCAAAGTACGAAGACAAACAAATTTTCCCTCCTCACAAACAAAGCAAACAAATTTTTCCTCCTCACAAACAAACCGAACTGATTTCCCCGCCTCAAGAACAGGTAAAACACAATTTTTTATTTATAATCAACATAAAAAGAAACTACCGCCAAGTCCATGCTATCGTTGTGGGTCTTGGCATTGGGTTAACGACTGTACATATCGTGCTAAAACTTGTCTATCATGTAAAAAAATTGGCCACAAAAGTTCTCATTGTTGGTATAGAAAAGAAAGCAGAATAAGAATTACGAGGACCGACCAAACAGATGAGATTAATATAAGAAAATATGTACAAGTTGAAATGCAAAACAGAAAAGTTAGGTTACAGCTGAATTCTGGCTCAAACTTAACTATCATAAATCTACAAACATGGAGAAAACTGAACAAACCTGTCATGTTAAAAACCGATAAAATTGCAAGATCAGTTACGGGGAGAAACATAAAATTCGAGGGTTAAATAATCACAAACGTAACATTTAACGGAATGACGAAAAAACTAAAAATGTACGTCTTAAGAAATACCGAAAATCTATTCGGGACAGACTGGATGCAAAAATTCGAATTGTGGGATCTACCTATTAGCACCTACTGTCAGAATGTAAAAAGCTTATCAACCGAGGCAGACAAATTAAAAGGAAAACTAAAAACGAGTTTCCCCGAAGTATTTTCGGCAGGTCTCGGAAGATGCAAGAAAATGGCAGCTAATATCAAAACAAAGGATAACGTTCAACCTATTTTCAAGAAAAAAAGGAGTGTACCGAAAATACGGCCATATTGAAAAAAGTAGAGTACAGCAAATGGGCCGCACCGACGATCTACGTTAAAAAGAAATCAGGAGAAATTCGAGTTTGTGCTGATTTTTCTACAGGTTTGAACGCAGCAATAAAGGACTACCACTATCCGCTACTTAGTCCTGAAGAAGTATTCACTAAATTAAATGGCGGAAAATATTTTTCAAAAATTGATCTAAATGAGGCCTACCTGCAAATTCCAGTCGATGATGAAAGTTCAAATCTACTATGCATAAACACACACAAGGGATTTTACAGATACCAAAGACTACCATTTGGAATTAAAGTAGCGCCGGCTATTTTTCAGCAGACAATGGAAACGATGCTGACAGGACTAGAATACACAATAGCATATCTGGATGATATATTGATTAATAGCGAAAGCGTTGAACAACACTGGCAACATGTACAAGAAGTGTTTAAGAGAATTCAAAGCTACGGAATCAAAGTGAAAGAAAATAAGTGTGATTTTTTCATGAAGGAAATTAAATATCTTGGCCATATAATAGACCAAGAAGGTAGACGTCCAGACCCTGACAGGTCTACAGCAATAAAAAGATGCCAGTTCGTAAGAACTTAACAGAACTACAAAGTTTTCTTGGATTAGTGAATTACTACCAGGAATTCATACCTGAAATGCATAAACTTCGAGCACCATTGAACGAACTGCTAAAGAAAGAAAAAGTTTGGCAGTTGACAGATCAATGCCAGGAAACATTTGAAAAAAATAATCAAGACATTAACATCGGATTTATTTTTGGCACTCTATGATCCTAAACTAGAGATTATTGTAGCAAATGATGCGAGTTCCTACGGTGTCGGAGCGTGTATATTACATAAAATGCCAGATGGGACAATAAAACCTATCGCACATGCTTCTTGAACGTTACTACCAGTGGAGAAAAACTATTCACAAATTGAGAAGGAAGCTCTAGCAATTATCTTCGCAGTAACAAGATTCCATAGATACGTCTATGGTAGACACTTTACTCTGGAGACGGATCACAAACCGTTAATAAAAATTTTTGGTTCAAAAAGAAGGTCTACCGGTGTAGATGGGGAACGATACTTCTGAACTATAATTTCAGATTGGAATATTTACCAACGAAAAGAATTGGGCACGCGGGTGGTCAATCGAGACTTATACCAACAAAGACAGAGCCATTGGAAGATACGGTAATCGCAGCCCTAAGAAATGAAGAACACATAAGGACAGTACTATGTTGTACAGTCAGAAACCTCCTAGTCACATTGCAAGAAATAAAAATGAAGCCAAAAATGACGAATTTATTAATGAAACAAAAGCAAAAATAACAGAAATAAATGAGAAAATTTCGGGCAGCTTTTCTCTATGCGATAATGTGCTACTTTACAACGAAAGGGTTGTAATCCCCAAAACTTTACAAAAACGGATACTAAAGGATTTCCACAGAGGACACTCGGGTAAAAATAGAATGAAGTCGCTAATGCGAGGCTATGTATATTGGAAGAATATGGACCAGGATATTTCTCAAATGGTGGAAATGTGCAAGGGGTGTAATTTAGCAGCTAAAGCACCGCAAATCATACATAAGCCTTGGCCTGAAACTGATCGTCCATGGTTAAGAATACACGCAGATTATGCAGGACCAATTGACGGGTTCTACTATTTAATCATAGTTCATAGTTGCAGTAAATGGCCGGAGGTGTTTCAGTGCAAAAATCCTACTACAGAAACGACCATAAATTTCCCCCACGAGCTATTCGCTCGATTTGGCGTAGTGGACTGTTTAGTAATAGATAACGGAACGCAATTCACATCAGCAGATTTCCAAGAGTTTTGCGAAATCTATCAAGTAAAACATATAAAATCCCCGCCTTACCATCCAAGATAAAATGGACAAGAGGAGAGATTCGTGGATACTCTCAAAAGAGCATTATGAAAAGCGTACGATGTGCCTACAGAGAAAGCATTACAGCTATTCCAACAGGTATATAGAATAACGCCAAATAATGCAACACCATCAACATTATCACCAGCAGATATCATGTTTGCTAGGAAAATCAGATCAGCGTTCGATAAATTACTACCAAGTAAAACAAAAAAGGTAACAATCCTACACACCAAAAAGAAAATTCCTCCCAGGGAAAAAAAGTTTTTTTTAAGGCATACAAAAATAATACCTCTTACTGGGAACAAGGGATAATTGAGAAAAGAATTGGCAATATGATGTACATAGTTCAAGGAAAGAAATTCTCACACAGAAGACACGTAAACCAAATAAAGAAGAGACCATTGCAGGATACTAACGGTCCACCTCAAGAAGAGGTATTGGACACGATTTTCGACACATTCGATATAACAAGACCGCAAATAATGCCAGAACCAAGAAAATCCTCTAGAAAAAGAAAATTTACTGAACCTTTGGAAATAGATCCAAAGAAAAAAAAGATATTAAAAAACCCCTGCTACGCAAAATTTTCGGAAGTGGGGTGTTATGGGAACTTACCCAAAATAACATAATGGACTATTCCATACTTAATAAATACTGCGCCTCAAGAGGAAGCAGGGAGTTCAGTCTGAGGTCTGGATTGAAGTCCGTCAGGAGTCTGTCAGTCAGTCAGAACGAGCGAGTCATGAGTCGAGTCAGAGGCAGTCCGAAATAGAGCCGCGTTCAGACAATTACTACTAAACCTGATTGTTCGTACTAACATTTTCTACTTCTCTGTATATATTCCTGTTTGTAATATATCTGTGTTATTCTATATACGTGTTCGAGTTCTTCTTTATTGGTTCTACCTTGGACTATCACCGTGGTACAAGGAACCGGACCATAACAGATAGATAGATAGATAGATAGATAGATAGATAGATAGATAAAAACACTATTTAATTTTCAGCTCCTATATTTGCAGAAAACAAAGTCTGCCTCTGGAATGTTTTTAGTAAGTTATGTTTTCTTAACTGAACCAAGTTACTGTCTTTTATTCAGGCTTGTTTATACAGACAAAAGATCGCATTTCATCTTTGGATATAGTAATAAAGACACATGTTAGTACAAGTTTTCTTTATTTGTTTTATGTAAATTCCTTTCATATCGTCTGATAAGCTTAATAACATTATCATTGAAAGACTAAAGAAAACCACCGTATTGATGCATATTTTTAATCCGATCTAAGCTTTCGGCTTACATAAGCCATTATCAAAGATGACAATTAGATTACAATATATTAAACAATACAAGGACATAACGATAATGATAGCTGTTTTTGTTTGCATGAAAGATTTCCAAGCAACGACAAATTCGTGCATACGAGACGCCGGAAGCGAAAATCGCACCGCAGCTCATGGCATCACACATGACCACGTAAGAGTGAAAACGAGAGGTGTTAAGTATGGGAAGCCGTTGATATATATATATATATATATATATATATGTGTGTGTGTGTGTGTGTGTGTGTGTGTGCAAACATGTAATATATATATATATATATATATATATATATATATATATATATATGATCGTAGCTCCACAGCTTCATATATATTTATATATATATGTGCGTGTGTTTGTGTGTGTGAGTATTACTTCAATCATGACACATCCAAATGTGGCTATATTTTCGGATGAAGACAATAGGCCGATGGAGATACGAACTTATCTGATCATGCAAGACTGACTTGTGGCTTTAAGCGAAATTGGGTCAACAAAATTTCTTCCTAGCTCGTTAGATCACGTCGGGTCCAACGACGATTCCCTCTGCCCAGGGGAACACAGGTTCGAATTCTGCCGAAGAGAGCATATTTTTTAAATAAGATTTCTCTGATATTCAGGCCGGTAGACGAAAAAATTTATATATATATATATATATATATATATATATACTGTTTAATAAATAAAGCGAGTCTATATATATATATATATATATATATATATATATATATATATATATATATATATATATATATATATACGTTTAATAAATAAAGCGCGAGTCTACTTAAATACGGCTATCCACTAAAAATAAAGTTTAAAATCATAATAATCTGTCGAATTAATGAATTAAAAATCCAAGACTTCTTTAGTGTATATATATATATATATATATATATATATATATATATATATATATATATATATATCAATGACTGGCTTAGTTTTTGCGATCTTCATCTCGTCAAATATTATTGCTCTACATATCTATTGTGTACTTTCCTGACAAAGATCAAAGAAGAGGATCGCCTCACCTTGGCATACGCTCTTGTCCGAAAGTCTTGTCACCCCTACATAATATAATTTTCTATTTTAGATGGCTGACACGAGCTCCTTCAGTCTCAAAGACAGTTAAGAGGTGATATGACATTCGGACCACCCTGTACATTAAATTACATAATTCTGCGAATATTACATAGTTAGGCAGCATTCCACGAGTATCGAACTCATTTTTTCCGCGGGAGGTGATTGCATCGCATTTCATTGTGATCGATATTCCTATTTATTTGTGTGCCTGTATATTCGGTGGGCTTTATATATATATATATATATATATATATATATATATATATATATATGTGTGTGTGTGTGTGTGTGTGTGTGAGTTTTATATTTTACATTTGTACATGAATACAGGCATAGAGATCTAACGTTCATCATCATTTGTATGGAAACCCATCTACATCATTATTCATATCTTTTCACTCCCATTTCCCACAATAACCAGATTTATGAACAGAACAATATTTTACCCTCCTGAAATATCCGTGATTTATTTATTAATCGTATTCATTGCTTTTATTACCCAAGTAGCGTACCTTTCAAAATGATGTTAGTTTTACGCACTTGATTCATTTTCGAAAAGAAAAAAAGATATCAGAAAATTTATTGGCTCCAGGAAACCCGGTTCTTGTTTTTTTTTTTTTTTTTTTAAATTGAAGTGCGTTCTTCTATAATTGGGATGCAACATAGCTCTCTGCGCAGACATTGAAATTGCCTAAACCAGTTCAAATTTCCGCCTTGTCTGTTAGGTTTACAAGAACATAAAGTCCCTCTTCTCTTCCCAATATATGGGTTAAATACTAGCCTGAGCGCAATAAACGTGGCTGGTAACTTTTCTAAGAGAAGGTAAATTCTGAATTCCAAACCATGAAGAAATCAACTGTAACCAACTCCATTGAAGAAGAGGAAGCGATGGAGAGCCATGATTGCCTATGTCATGAAGGGTCGAGGCATTAAAAAAAGAATATCTTGTAAATGCAAATATGATTATATATCATATTTTAGTAGATACGTCCATATATGTCATTATGACAGAACCTTGTTTTATGTGTCATTATGATAGAACCTTATTTTATATGCGTCATTATGATAAAATCTTATTTTATATATGTCATTATGATAGAACCTTATTTTATATGCGTCATTATGATAAAATCCTATTTTATATATGTCATTATGATAGAGCCTTATTTTATATGTGTCATTTTGATAGAATCTTATTTTATATATGTCATTATGATAGAACCTTATTTTATATGTCATTATGAGAGAACCTAATTTTACATATGTCATTCTGATAGAATCTTATTTGATAGACATATAGAAACACATGCAGAAACGAAATCAAATTCCATCTACGTAACGTGCAACAACATCACTACTAAAAATAGTAAGCAACTAAGAAGACCATAGCCTAAATTTAATATACTCTACTTGAAATATGAAACTTTATAACCGAAGAAAGTATGCAATAAAGTAAGAAAAATAAGTAAATAGAAATATTAAATAATAAATAAATAAGCTAAGTAAATAAATAAAAATAAACATACTCAAATCCAAGGCTATGAATAATCTAAAACATTGTCATGAATAAAAAGAAAATAGAAAAAAAATACTTCCGATGAACTCTGAAACGGTCTATGTATTAAGCCCAGAAGTAACTATAGTCTGATTAAGACGTGAAACCATATAATGTTCTCGATCCAAACTGTCTCTCTATATAAAAATTATCCTCGGTACTTAGCGCTTCTTCTCCATAAATGTAGCACATTTTAAACTATATATATATATATATATATATATATATATATATATGTGTGTGTGTGTGTGTGTGTGTGTGTGTGTGTGTGTGAGAGAGAGAGAGATGTTAATCGAGTTACTGATCTCTCTACTGCAGTTACACAATATATATATATATATATATATATATATATATATATATATATATATATATACGTGAACATTGAAGTCACTATTCAGAGGCGACAGGCTGTTACATGCTGGACGCAATCGTCAGGCCGCCTGAGGTTCTATCATAATGATATATATAAAATAAGATTCTATCATAATGACACATTTAAAATAGAGTTCTATCTATACTGGCGACCTGACGATTTCGTCCAGCATGAAACAGCCTGTCGCCTCTGAGTTTTGACTTCAATGAAATGTTCACTTTTATATTTATATTTACATACTCTCTATCCCTGATATTGAGCACTTTATTCCATAAATATAGCACGCCTTAAAACTATATTTCTTCATATACATCCATCCATACATATATATATATATATATATATATATATATATATATATATATATATATATATATAATGATGGTATCAGGAAGAAAATGTTTAGATTGTTTAAGAGGTTGAATTTCGACATAAAATCTAAAGGTGGTACAATATTTAGATGTCGAATTCGATTTACCCACAGGAATACTTTCTCCATATATAAAGCCGAATTATGTGCTTGAATATGTCAACACCAAGTTCAACCACCTGCTAGTGTCCTTAAACACATCTCAATGGCTGTAGAATGTAGAATTTCGAGAAATTTGTCTACAAAAGAAATCTTCAGCCTTATATAGAAAGTTTATGAATCTGCAAAGAAGGAGGAGGGGCATGAGACAAATTTCAACTTTCAGACCCCAGCTGGATAACCAGCTGAGGGGTAAAAGTGTAAGAAACTTAAAAGTAATCTGGTTCAACCCTCTTCTTAATATGCCGGCTAAAACCAATAGGGAATGTGTTTTCCGCTCATTAAATAAGCTTCTTTCTTAGGTCTTCGGAACTCTCGTCGGTGTTTAATTGAAATACTATAAAGCTGAGTTACAGTTGTACACAAAATTTTGGAAAAAATCATGAAAAGGCACAACACTACTTCTTGTGTGTTATTAAAAGAAGGGGTGAAGAATGTGACGATAAAAAGCTATGTAACTGCAGAGTAAAAGACAATTGTCCGTTGGATGGTGCATGTTGCGCGGAAATATATTGTATATCAGGCAGAAGTCAAAGATGTAACTAATGTGAAAAGGATATACACTGGTTTCACAGAGGCTTATTTCAAAAAACGGTTGTTCTATCATTCTACTTCATTTAGGCTACAAAGCCATAGACACACTACTATGTTGGGTGATTGGGTTTGGAAGTCGAAGGAAAAGTATGGAAGAAGTCCTCAAATCAAGGGGAAGATAATAAAAATAGTCAAACCAGGCAGAACGCGTGGCAATTGTTGCAAACTATACCAAAAAACAAAGCTAAAGATAGCCACATACCATGACCTTTCTGAATTGTTGAATTCAAGAAAAGAAATTATGACAAAATGTAGGCACATAAGAAAATAACTTATAGGTCGATATGAACCCGGATAAAGGCAATTAATACATTTTTTCTCTTTCTCCTCTCCTTCCTCTCCTGCCTACTTCTGGTATAAATAAGATTGTTGATGTGCGCCAAAAAGCCGTCCAGTAAGCCACTTGATGAGATCATAAGATCGAAATCCAAGTCGTAAAGGTACTGTTCGATATTATCATATATATATATATATATATATATATATATATATATATATATATATATATATATATGCGTGTTTTCTGACACTCTTGATGGTGTATTTTCGTTATTCAGAATCGCTTTTCCACTTTCAATATATTCCTTCGCCACTGTCCACTCGATTAAAACGAAACCATAACACCCAGTCAGGTGGTTCTATGGAATTGGTACGTTCTATTCGAAAATATGTAAAGTAGAAGAAAAGTAATGAACCAATTCTCTCGAGCGAATACAAGTCACTGCTCAGAATGGATAAAGTATTTTTCGGTCGAAAATTTCTGTTAATAATACTGGATACAGAGCGAGCAACTGAGCAGTATTAATTAGATGAGATATCCCTAGGCATGGGCAGTGGAACTAGAGCAATATACCTCCGTAGATTAAATAAAGTGTTCAGTTCGATAATCCCTGGTGCTTAGCTGGATCGAGAAGCACCTGATGAAGACCGGATGGCACAACGGCCGAAACGTTGTGATAATGACAACAAAGATGTGGAAAATAACTCATGTGTATATAATGTAAGTAATGATAAATTTTAATACCCGACATTCAAATACAGAAAAGAAAGAAGAATATTGAGAAAAAAGTGAAAAGAAAGAAAGAAGCAAAAGAATGAAAGAAAGAAAAAAGAAAGAAAGAAAAAAGAAAGAAAGAAAGGGACTGAAAGAAGGAAATAACTCTAGTACAAAAATACTTAAAAGAATATTAAATAAGAAAGAAAGAAAAAAAAGGAAAGAGGATTGACATTGGCCAGATGGAAAAAAGAGAAAAGGCAGAAAAAAAAGAGAAATCCTAAAAAAGAAGACAAAGAAATATACTAAATAAGAAAGAAAATATGAAAGACAGAAAGAACTAGCGATTGAACGAACGAATGAACGAACGATAGAAAGGAATGGGGAAGAAGAAAGAAAGAAACAGGAAGAGAGAAATAAATCTAGTAAAAGAAGATACAGAAAAATATTAAATAAAAAAGAAAGAAAGAAAGAAATGAAAAGAAAAGAAAAGAGGAGATGAATCGAGCAAAAAAGTAAATATTGGAGATGAAAGAAAAAACGGAAGGAAATAGATAAATCGCGCAAATACAACGTCTAATAGATAGATAGATAGATAGATAGATAGATAGATAGATAGATAACGAAGTGATTGATCCAGACAGACAGATAGATAGATAGATAGATAGATAGATAGATAACGAAGTGATTGATCCTGACAGATAGATAGATAGATAGATAGATAGATAACGAAGTGATTGATCCAGACAGATAGATAGATAGATAGATAGATAGATAGATAGATAGATAGATAACGAAGTGATTTATCCAAACAGATAGATAGATAATAGAAGATAGATTGATAACAGATTGACAGATAAACAGATAGATAGATAGATAGATAGATAGATAGATAACGAAGTGATTGATCCTGACAGATAGATAGATAACGAAGTGATTGATCCAGACAGATAGATAGATAGATAGATAGATAGATAGATAGATAGATAGATAGATAGATAGGGAGAGAGAGAGAGAGAGAGATAGATAGATATGCTTAACACACAAAGATGAGCAGCAATTATAACTGCAACGTTGAATAAACTCTAGAGATTGTAAACTGAAAGCACATTTACAAGAGCTCTTTCTTCGCGGTATCTGTTCGTCTGTTTGTGCTGTACACTCTCTCCAGTCACGGAGATACTTAAGTGTTCTGTCATAAAACTAGATAAGCAGGTCCTCCAGCACTTATAATGCGTCATTGTCGCTCGCAACGTTTTCGGATCTTACCGGAGATCGACAATGAACAGACCAAAAGAAACAGATCGTGGGAATCCAATCTTGCTGAAAGACCTTCCAATGCGAATTCTTTCTATGCAATTCTTTTTCGTGTTATGGTTAATTTATCTATGAGTTTATCTCACAGTTTCTTAGCCATTCACATATGAGTGAAACTCTCTCGACATTTTCTTGAATGACACCCCCAACATCTTAAGATGATGTTGGGCTATGTTTTATTTATTAGCCTACTTCTTTGGCATAGGCTGTTATCAATAGTCCGTCTATATATAATACAATTGTTAAATGAAATGTCTGTGGCTATGAATATCTTCCATTTCTTTTTCAATCATTCATCATGCTTCTTTTTTTCTTCACTAAGATTGGAAGAATTTATTACTGAGAACCGAAACCTTAAGAGAATCATGATTACTCATGTCCAATTCCGTGAATACAAACACACCCGCATTCACATAAACAGGTTTTCTGTTCTTTTCTATTTTCTATATCATTAATATTCTTTTGTGTTCTTGTCTATTCTTTCTTTTCTTAATCTTTTGTAGTTTCTCATAAACTAGTTTTTTATTTTGATATTCTTACTTGGATTCCCTCTGTCTTTTCTACAAATATTTTCATGGCAATTGCTCTGATGAACTTTTTTTTCTTGGTAAATCATGACTCCATGATTTTAGCTTGCAACTAGATCTTATAGTTTGAACTATAATCGTACGTCATATCCTAACCGTTCCTAATTTCTTACTTTCCTGTCATCTTCAAAAAGGTAAATTCAGCGCCAAATTCCTAGATCCTGTTCCGTTATTGTCCTTTCTCCTCACTATAGTTTTCTCATTCTCTTTTACCCCCACTAACCACTCCTGTTCCTGGGGATAAAATGATAAAAAAATTTCTTTTTTATTCTTTTGCATTCTACCTTATTCGTTTTTTGTTTTTTTTTGGAGGGGGGTGGATCTGTTCATTCCTATTCTATTCCTGTATTATTCATTTTTTTCTTATTTCTTCTTATTTTTGTTTATTCTTTATTCCGTTTTCTTTCACAATCTTTCTCATTCTTTTGGATTCTTTTTTATTCGTTTTTTTTGAATTTCAATTCTTTTTTATTCGTTTTTTCACTTTCAGTTCTTTTTTATATTCGTTTTTATTCTATTATTTTATTCTCTTACATTTTTCTTATTTTATTTGTATTCATTTTCTTCGAATTAATGCTTATTTTTTATATTATTAATTCATTTTATTTTATTGTAATTGTTTTCTATTTTCATTTTTATTATGTCTTATTGTTTTAGATATTTTCTTTCTTATTTTTATTTTCGCATTCATTATTTATTACTATCTTTTCTTATTTTTAATAGAAATTTCTGTTATTTTCTTCTTCATTTTTATTCACTATTCTTTTTTCTTTTCTTTCATTTTTCTTCATTATTTCTTTCTTTTCTGTTCTTTCTTCTTCATTTTTTTATTCCACGATATTTTTCTACTCATTGTCAATAAGGATTATGCTGAACTTCTTACAATACAAAAAACACAAATGTGAGGACTCAGCGAAGATCGAACTCACTACAGTATGCATTGTAATGGTAGGAATAGCCTTTTACCTTATAAGTAAACATTCACCATTCATTGACCGAACAGTTAGTATTACTTTCGGGTGAAATTTGAAAATCTTTCCCTTAAAATTTTTTTCAGGAAATTAAACTTCTCAAGTCCACTGTTATCGCCCTTTCTAGTGCTGATGCAGTTTGCTTCCTAATCATTTGTTTAAGGTAGTGTGGAAAGAAAACAATTTCATTATATTATTAATTTTCTTCTAGCGAGATGTGTTGTAATTTTTTGTTGTTAATGCTGTTGAAAATTTTCAATGGATGCGGTTATTTGTTTGTAGTTTGTTAAATGTCTTTGTTTCTGATTTTATAGCGCCAGTCTATAAGATCTGATGATACATTATAATTAAGATTTACAGGTTTCATTCTCTTGAAGCCATTTTTAATCATCAATTCGAGAAAACGGTTGAAAATGGATCTATTTATATTTATATGAAATGTATCAGCCATTCCTTCAAATTTGCTTTAATTGAATCAACTCATCCTCAATAGTTAAAACTTGAGTTCAAAGTTTCGCAAATTCGCAGAATCTGCTAGTTTATCATAATCTGTGAAGATATTGAATAATTGATTAATCTTGTTAATGGACAGAAATTGGTTTCTTTCCGCGATGACAAGTTTTTGAAATTTCGACGAAAGTCAAATTTTCCAACTGTTTGCGGTATGCCATAATGTCAATTTTCATTATAGTGCCACAAATTATCGAATCTAGAATGAGGTTAGTAATTTCGTTTTATCCTTCTTTTGCTTGGTTGTCTTTCAATTATTTAGTCCTAGCCTAATATACAATATATATCTCTTCTACTTGGAAAATAGCTACAATCTTATTTACTATTCACTACAGTTACTTCCTATTTTCTATCAGTTTCCGAAATCCCAACAATGGTTAGATTTGTTATATATAAAATGTGGTTATTGCCAAGGGAGGTAATCACCTGATGCCATTCTAGAACGTCTTGTTGTGGAGGTAATAAACATCGAGTGTGTACCAAGACCGACACTAACTGTAGGAAGACCAGTAAAAAAAGCGTCAAATTTATTATCACCGTTTTATCTTTCAGGAATAATTGACCTTGAATAAGCTTGAATAAATTTCTTGAATCTATATGACCTTGAATAATCATTCGACTCTCGCGTAATTACTTAACTCTGATTGGTTCATTTATGATTGATTAATTGCTGCTCGATTTTATGACTCGTCATTTAAAGGTTATTTGTAGACAACTTTCGTCTTTCTTTATGCCCTTTTCGTATGGCTAAACATCTCACTGATTTTGAGTGTGAAGCCATCGTAATTTTCAAAGAAGAACATCCGATGTGAGGACTGAGGAAATGTGCGGAAATTCTTCCTGTAATTCTTCATTCACACCAGTCGTCACCAATTTTCAATGGTTGTCCCAGGTCTTTCTGAATTTACTGTTTTTTGGTGGGGGGGTTCTTTTGCTGGGCACCCCGTAAATGCTCCATACGCCTGTAGCTTTGCACTAGACTTGGCTAAGTTACGTAAAGACGTGCATCCAAATTCCTGCACAGAAACACTCAGTCACATACTTATACCCGTAATGGTTTGCAAGTTCATCTCACAGAAAAACATGCTAGTGTAGGAAGTTCGATACCCATTGGTGCTCCACCATTTTGGCCTTGTGTCAGACAAGCGACGTTTGTTAAGTAACTGCATAAGCATATACAGGACATTGGATCAAGCTAGTTTTGCATGGGATTACTCCTCGTGTTTTTTAAATACTGTTCTATACGCTGTTTGTCAATGAGTAGAAATTATTATTCAAATCACAAATATTCTAATAACTAGCAGCCATATCCAACTGGTCGATCAGTAAAAGCGTTCAATAAGAATGGAGCAAAAACAGCATTATGTTTAGATGTAACAGAGTCTATCTTCTTCAATTACTTTAAAGTACTTTCATTAAAAAAATATTTTGAAAATGCAGTTACTGATATAACAGAAGTAGTCTGTATGTATTTATTCAATCGAAGTTAGCCGAGGACATGAAAGGGTAAAACAGGCAACATGAAGACCTACTTCAGACCACAATTATTTTGGAGTTTTTGAAATCCAATTAGTCAGTGTGCTACCAGGGATGTAAAAGAGGATACATTTATAAAGTAATGGTTAAGTTTGATGAAAATTGGTTGAGAGATCAACGAAAAATAAGAAAGAAACCAGTAAAAATCACCATTTTTCGCTATTTAAATGGGTTTTCACTATATGGATGAACTCAGTTATCAAGGTAAATGACTATTAAACAATCAACATATTGTTGACTGTAATTCAGTGAAGTTTGTATTAGATTGCTTGAAATTGAGAGAGTTATTAGTTTAAAATTTGTGTTGAAATCGATTTTTCGTTTTTCACGGTTTTTCGCTAAACGCAGTGGCGTAGAAATAAAAAATGAGGTATCGTTGAGCTCGTCACGATGTCAGTAACCTACATACCGAATTTGAATGAAATCAGAGGAAAAAAGTTGAATTTATCGATTTTTATCTGCTTTATCGATTATTGATTTTTTTAATTATCGATTTTTTTACGCTAAGAACCTATCTCTTCGATTGTACAATGTATATGCCAAGTTTGGTCAAAATCGGTTGGATGAATCTCAAGTGAAAAGGTATCACACAGACAGACAGACAGACAGACATCCACTGTTTTATATATATAGATGAAATTAAAAAGATCTGTCTATATTTCCGAGATGATGTATTGTTGCTGTTTACACTATTTACATTGGTCGGACTTTTGTCGCCATCTGTATTGTTAAATTCACAACAGAATTTCGAACCGAACCCTTTTATTTTATCCAGCGGGGTAGATTGTTCTAGTTCCACGTGCCATACCTTTTCTGGATATCTCAATTTCAGTTATTTTCATTTTAGTAACACAATTCTCCAAGTTTTTGCTCACCTGTGCTGTGGCCATTGAACTCACAACTCTTTGGGTCAACCAAAGCTTTTATCGTCTGGGCCTTGTGTCCCGATGGACCAAATAAAGGGTTCGATTCGAAATTCCAACGTATATCACCTGAAGAAGGCCAAAACGTACAACGACCGAAACATCGTGAATATGACAACAAAGATGAGGAAAGTAGTCCGAACAATATAAATATGGTAAATAAAATAAAAAGAAAGTTCTGGCAATAGAGAAAAAAGAAAAAAAATCACAGTAGTATTTCAGTGCCAGCTATATTTGAATTTGATATACGTAGATAGGTAATTGACTTTTTATCGCTACCGATAGATTTTATGCAATTTCTGACCTCCTGTATGGCAGAGAAAGCGAGTCGTCAATAATGAAGAAAAACTCTAGGCAGTAAAGATGTTGTTCTATCGATGAATGTTAACAATACTAAGGACATAGCATGTGACAAATGGTACCTCGGGGTGATGTAATGGTTAGCAAGCTTGTCTCGCTAGAACAATTAAGGCTGAGTAGTGAGTTGAATCCTCATTGGGTGCACCATGCTTTCAGCCTTTTTCTCCATAGCATATGACGAGTGAGGAAATATTAAGAACGGAGATTGTTGATAAGGTTATAAAAAGGCAGCTGAAGCTTTGGGCACACATAATGAGGAAAGTGGTCTTGATTCATTGATTTATTTTTACGGCTTATCAACCCATTACAGGCTATTTAAAATATTTTTAGATTGTCAGAATATTTTTTTAGAATATAGTGGTTTAGTGATACAAGAATTACTAATTAACCCATAGCTTTGGGGAGTGATGGATTCATACATTTCCCAAGAGTATTTGCACGTAAATGAATATAGCGAACCCAAATGGGATAGGAACTCAGTTCTCCAGTTAACAATTCCGAGCCATTATCCATTATGTAACCTGGTATTCCCAAGCGGTCACCCATCTAGGTACTGACCAGGCTTGACGTTGCTTAACTTCGGTGATTGTACGGGATTGTACGTGATGTGGCCATTCAAAAAGCAACGAGTAACAACTTGGAGAGGAAAGCAAATGCCATAATTGGAAGGAGAGTTCGCCATATAGCATTTCTGGGTACAGCAAAAATGCTGGAAGCTGTGAAGGACCACGGTCGGCCGCGTTCGATATTTTCAACTTGATGGCCAGACAAATACTGTTGCAGGAAGTGAAAAAACGGTGGTGTAACATACTTTACATATTATGGAGGTACCAATCTACTTTATTTACTGTCATAATGGATTCTTCCGGGTTTCTATTAGTTACATGATGTACACTTAGGCGATCATGTTTCTTTCAATTCATGACTGACTAGGCAGAGGTTTAACCGCAGTAGGTTACCATGTCTTTCTTCGATAGACTGGTTGCCAAGCAAGGCTATAGAGACCATTTTGTCCTGCCATTCAACACATAGCTAGGGATTCATACTTTTCCTAAGCGTATTTTGCGGAAATGAATATAAAGAACGTGACTGGAATTCGAACCCAGATCTCCAACTTCTCATTCTGAGACGACATCCATTATATCCAGGCTTACATAATATTATAATAGATGCTAATATCCAAGATTTGCTCTCGGTAAACTTTCAGAAAATTCCGTTTCTTTTTTTACGATAAACCACATGTTTCATACATACTTTCATATCAGACGAAATTTTGACAGATTACCGCTCAGCTGCTATTTGAAACAAGGCAAGAACAATTATGTTATTTGATATTTCCATGTCTTGTCCTCGATTGATGCTAAAGAGCTCTTTTTGTTGTATCTCTCTTTCGCTTTCTCTCTTTCCATCTCTATTTTTCTTTCTTTTTTGTCATATTTTTCGATCCCCCACTTTAAAGTGTGTATTTTTTTCTTATCCTTTCTCTACTTCTCCTTCTGTTTTATATACTTTTCTTTGTATTTGTATATACTTTTAAAATGTCCGTTTTTAAAGCCCTTATAGAATGTTGTATACCCCCTAAACTATTTTAAATTAAAAAAAATCTAACGAGGAAATGGAAAACTCGTACGTGTTTAGACCTGCGTGAGATCAGTGATGTAAAATGCGGTGCAGCCGTGACAAAAAAAAAATAGATAAATAAATAAAAATAAAAATAAAAGCGTATGGCAATTATTTTAATCAGTGACAACATTTCAAGCCGTCGGGCCTTCAATGGAAGCGAACGATGTCATTTTTGAGTCGGCTTCGGTCACGAACTGCGTGTTGGACGTTACAACTCTATAACACTTTTTGTTCCGGTTAATTGGTGTCTTCTTTGTATAAAGGAAGACAAAAGTTTTAAGCAGCGTCTAAAAGGATTTTGAAAACATCTGAACAATATCAGTTAAGATGGCTAAATATACTTGAATATTATTTCAAGTGAGGAGGACACCTGAAAAATACCAATTAAGATAGCATAAATACCGATCAGATATCGTTTGAAATGATGAAAACACTTGGAAATTATAGTTTGAAATAAGGAAAACACTTAGAAAATATAGTCTGTGATAAAGAAAACACCTGGGAAATATCATTTCATATAAAAAAAGACACTTTCAAAATGTCGCTTGATATGATTAAAACACTTTTAAAATATTGTTTGAGAAGTTGAAAATACTTAGAAAATATGGTCTTGTGACACTATTTAGGGTTGCGTGAAAACAAAAAGGCGAGAATTAATTTAGGTGATAAGAAGCTATCACGAAAGGACACTGAGCGATGTTATTTTTTCTAACAAGGAAAAGTGGTAAAGATTTTATTTTCATTTGCGAAAAGAAAAAGTATCATTTTTCTCACGCAGAAAATAGGAGATTCGTGAAATAACGGATCTGTCGAATTAATTTATGTTACGGCGCGGCGAAAGAAGATAGCAATCTGTCCATGGCAATAATGAAAATTTCAAATTGGTCAAGTGGCCTACAGGACAGAATGCTAAGAGATAATATTAATTATGTCATGCACTGACCGAGAAAAATGTCCGCTGGACCACCCACAAGTTACAAATAAGGAAAGATTAAACCATTAACTATTCTTCGGAGATAACATTGGTTTGGAAAAAAAAAACACCTGTTTTATTGTCCAAACCTGGACATGATAAAAGTTTGTATCGGAAGAGATAATTAGCGACAGAATGCAAATACGTCCAGTTAAACCACCCACTTGACGCTGGCGAAAATCTCGATTGATAAAGTCCAGATGACATTCGTTTGAGATAGAAATTAAGGACCACACTACGGTTCGTAGAGGTCTGCTCGGGGAGGAAAAAGAAAGAAGAAAAAAAAAGGAAGATAATTTTTTTTTTGAGCGATAATTGCAAACACCCACGCTGCTGAGCGTTCATTGGCTGAAGGGTGGCGTGAGCGGTAGGCGAAGGTAAACTATGAAGAAGGAGGAGAGGCCTGTTAACGCCCCCTGAAGAGATTGGTGTGAGATGCCTCTGTGAGAGAGAGGGGAAACCTGTTGACGTTCTCTGAGGGGATTGGGTGAGATACCAATATGAGAAAGGAAGAATTTGGGAGGACGATTCCCTTAAAGTAGAAAGTAATAGACTTCCAAAAATGGAAAGTAATAAATTTTCCTGAGCGAAAACAAAGAAAATCCTGAATGTGGATTTAGAATTATCAAGGAACCTCAAACCCCGACAGGCCCATCCCCGGTTTTGGTCGGCGTCCATATAAACAGAGTCGCAGCGAGTAGACGACAGACAGACAAGCAGTAGAGTTGGAGTTGGAAGTTGGAGAGAGAGACGCAGAATTGAGCTGTGACCACTGATACACGCATCGCAGAAAGCTGACAAAGATCCACGCATCACGACCTCAACTTCTAACCAAGAACAATTTATTTTTGAAGAACGGCTTAGACTCACACCACCAAAACCAGTTTTGCGAATATCGCCTGAAGACACCAAAAGCCAGTTATCGAAAAACAACTTAAGATGTTAAGACTCGCCTAACAAACGCAAAGTGTCACGCATCCATATAAGCGGGTTGGGAGAAAGACGCAGTCCTGTATTCAGCAACCAGATATAAAATATTGTTATCCTTTTTGAACACATTTGAACTTTTCGAGTTGTTACTTTATTTTCTTTTACATATACTTGTGCGCTATTACCTTTGTCCGGACTCGACTTGCATTGCGGCCCGGCGACTGATTGATTTCGTCTACATAAGATCAAATCACAACGTGGGTAGGTTAGACTAGAAATCAAAGCAGTTACTTCGGTAACCAGACGTTGGAGGCGAGCTGGGAACGACAAGGCTGATATCGAATCTAACCAGATTCCCATCCGAATCAGCAAAAGGTTAGAACGTCACATTTGGTGCTGCGACCAATACCAAGTCACATTGGTCGTCGCAGGACAGGACGGCAACGGGGCAGACAGCACGGGGTGACGTCACAGTCTGTGATAAAGTAAACACCTGGGAAATAACATTTCATATAAAAAAGACACTTTCAAAATATCGTTTGATATGAGTAAAACACTTTTAAAATATTGTTTGAGAAGTTGAAAATACTTAGAAAATATGGTCATCACAAGGAAGGCAATAAAGTTACTAAGACGCATAGGAAGCACTGAGTATGAGAGAATATGAGAAAAAGAAAACATTATTAAGAAGAGAGAACAGTAAAAGAACAGGAATTAAAAAAACAGAAGATAAAGATTGATATTGCATTTAAATTTTGAAGATCAAAGTTGACTGGGAAGCAAGAAGTCGGAAGAGAGTTCTGCAAACGAAATGTGTGAGAGAATAAACTATCAGCATATAGACTACAGTTAAATCTAGCCATTTCAGCAGTAAAAGGATGAGACCTAACCGCCAATCTAGTATTATGCTTAAATTCAAAAAGTCTAGTCTAGGTATCATAGAGCAAAGATCATCGAACAATTACCATATATTTATAGGAAAGGAACAGGGGAACTACGTTACGGCGGAGGGAATGTCACTCATACTAGGTTAATAACGTCGCAGGATCTTCTTTAGATTTTATCTAAAACTATCTGTAATAATATAATTTCAATTGACGTAAACGCTTAAAAATATCAGTTAGGATAACGAAAATACATTTGAAATGACAAAGAATACAGAAAATATAGTTTGAGATGATTGAAATACATGAATAACATCATTTGAAAAATATTTCAGATAGGGAAATCACTTGGTAAATATCACTTCAGATAACGAAAACCTTGAAGAATGTCATTAGAGACGACTAAAATGCTTGTAAAAATTGTTTGTAATTAGTAAAGCACTTGCATATAATTTAAAATGAAGAAAAAATTTGACGAATTCAGTTTGAAATTGAGAAAATATTTTAAAAATCCTTTTATGAATCGTTATTATATATTAAACATTTCACCCCATGCAAGGCAGTAAAGCCACTATGATCAATCAAAAGTGCTCGGATGAACTACATTCCTTGACTGCGGCAAGTTGTTGAGGGGTCCATCCCTTTTTATACAAATGGACTCACTCAGTATATACATACACTACTGATACGTGAAGACCCGAGCGACGAGAGCAAGACCGTGGAGTCGAGTCAAGTCCAGAGTGACAGAGTAAAAGGTTGGAGGTAACCGGAAGAGTGAGCGTGGGGTAACAAAGATATATTTATGACAATAATGTATTGCAGGTAAGAATTTTTCAACAAATTTATTGGTAATATTAAAGCTTATTTTTACACTTTCATAGTGTTTTCACCCCAGTTTGGGGGTTAACTATTTGCCCATAGTTGGGACCCTAACAGGTGCTACCACCGCGGGTCAGAGAAGACCTGAGAACACTAGCAATTAAGAGGTGGTTCCACGCTCCTCAAAACATCCTGATCAGAAGCCTTGCTATTGGATGTAGTTTATCATCTTACCCAGGACGGGTCATTTTTAAGATCAGTTTAAACTTATTGAACTGATCAGACTTGCTATTAAGACAGGAGTAGATTGTTATATCATTAGCATAAATACAGTGATGAAAATTGATGACATCACGAAGGTTATTTAT